TTACCGGTTGTGTCTCTGGCCATCTCTTGTAGTCAGCTGTCATTAGCCTTTGATCTGTCTCTTGAGCATTTACCTTCAGTTTCATAGTCATTATGTTCGCTGCCTCCAGGTTCGTGGCTCGTCACTGGATTTTCCAAGAAGGTGAACGGATGTTCACTGTTTCCTCCTCCTGTTGTTTCTACCTGCAAGTTCTTGCCTGCCCGCTCCGCCGTGTCCCTCATCTCCACCCCGCTTCATCTGACCTCCGGCTCTCTGCCACAACCTTTCCTCGCCTGTGGGATCATTGTCACCATTCCCCACACAAGACCCTGGACATCTTTCTCTCTTGCCTCACCAGAACCATTCTAAAGTAAGCGGTTCCTATTGCATCTCTGAGCCCCTCATTTCTGGCCATCAGTAACCTACCTCTCGTTTCAGGCACCCCCAATCGTGTGACGCTAATCTCACCCCAGAAAGGGTCAGGAAGACCAGTCATTGCTTTCACTTTGAAAATAAACCCTGTTTCCTTTACTTGACCGTACAGAACCAACGCAAATGTTGGTTCTGTATGTGGGTCACGAGGGTAAATCCAAACATGTCAATTATTGTGCAAAAGCAGCTCTTAACAGGTGGATTTTAAGGCTTAATTTAAAGGAACTCAGTGTTTCAGCAGTTTTACAGTTCTCTGCAAGTTGGTTACAGATTTGTGGTGCTTCTCCATTTTTCTTTCTGGTTCTGGCCAGACCAGAACCAGAAGACCTGAGAGGTCTGGAAGGTTACTATGACAGCAACAGATATTTACTATATTTTGGTGCTAGGGCGTTCAGTGATTTATAAATTGTCTGATTTTTATTTATTTATTTTTAAAACTTGTGAAGACACTGTTGCAATAATTCATGCGATTAAAGACAAATGTGTGGTTAAGTTTCTCTAGATCTTGCTAAGACATTAGTCCTGTAGTCGTAGAAATGTTATTCAAATGGTAGAAGACTGACTTTACAAAAGTCTTTGAAAGTCCAGGTCTGGGAGAAGCTTTTAAATTAAATTGAACTTCCTTAAAAAGAAACAAGAGTGATAATATTGTAACTTTCTCCTAAATCTTTTTCCTATGGCGCTTTTGAGAGCTTGGTGTACTTTCCAACAAGCTCTCAAATCCTCAAGTCCTCATTCTTGATGAGGCCGTGTGCTTCATTCAGACGCAGCTTTGCAATTTTTTCCCAGATGAGTAAATAATTTCCAATGCAAATAATCTGCACATTAAAACTGCTGTTAAAAATCAGGGGAGCAATGAGTTGGGGAAAACAAATATTCTGTGCATCATTTAGTTTACTTATCGTAAATACCATAAAAGTTGCATTTACTGCCACCTATTTTCTACTACGCCAAAACAAGTTAACGTAATTTACTTCAGAATGGCTCACTCTAGTCTTGAATCATAAATTTTAAACAACCTCAGTGAAAGATTCAATTGTCCCTCAATCAGTTCATAGGCTTTTGAAAGCATGAGGATGAAAAAGCAGCAGTTTCCCACAGCACTGGCAGACGAGGACGTGATAATGCTTCCACTCCCTTTAGGGAGGTTGACATTGCCACCAGTTTGTACTTAAATGAGCCCTATGGGTGGCCGGATAAATGCTAACACTGCCCTGGGGACCACATGGTTGCTCCCTGTGCATCCTCCAGCCCTTGCTCTCATTTGCGAATCTGAAATTTCTGTCAAGTGCCTCCAAGAAGTGCAGGAGGCAGTGCATGTTGGAGGTCTAATGATGGTGTTGTAGATCTAATGATGTGTGTAATTACAGCATTCTCAGATATGGCAGCATGCGTGCTCGCATTGCTCACATGGCGTTTGCTCAGCGCCATGTCTTTAGACTTTAATCAGGTTCAGTCCTGCCCTGTAACTATCGTGTGGGGTGAATTTTGAAGAAAAATACAGCATGGATCCTAATGTTGCAGTTCTGTTGTACAATACACTGCCTCTGTGTACATATGAAAATATTTCATGTATTAGATTATGAGACTCGTTTTCGATTATTGTTTAGGATCCCGATTAGCTGGAGTTTTCACTCACCTACTCTTCCTGGCCTGAATCATTGAAAAACCCTCATACAGTATAAATCATTCCAGTAAATGATGGACAACAGATTTAGCATACATGACAATAAAAATGAATTACAGTTCATACAAAGTGTTGATAAATCCATAAAATATACAATACTTAGCCATGTTGGTTGTAAGTATGTAACTCCTAAAGTCAAAAGAACTCGATTTTTGGATTTAAAAAAAAAAAAACTTCTGTTCAGTAAAAAGAGTTCCACTTTATTTCATTGCTCAGTGAGTAAAAGCGCATTTGAGAAAATTAGTTTTGCCTGAGGAATTTAAAAACATCAACTGCATGTCTGGTGACAAAATCCATGTTCATTTAAATTGATATTTAACTGAGCAAACAAAAATGATGTAGACTTTAGAATTTTAAACTTTTCCATGTTGAGAATTGCAGTCAAACTAAATTTGTATCAGACTTTTAGCCAGTTTTTATGCTTGGTCAGATTTCTTCTCCATCAAGTGATGTTTGTCCAAGTCTTTTCTCTTTTATTTGCCTATAATAGCTTATTCTTTAAGCAGGTATTAAACATACTTTCTGTTAAGACCACATTTCTGTATTGATATTTTCAAAATTAGGGGTGGATGATACAAACTTAGAATTTCATCATGATATTTTGTGGTACTATTGCTAAAAAAAAAAAAAAAAATGCTTTTTTTTTGTAACCTTATGGCTGTGACTTCAAGGCATAGCATTTATAGACCTAAATTGGAAAAACATTTCCATTGAAATTAGTTACTTCAGGACACTGATTTCTGAAAGAACACTCTTCAATCATTTCCAAATGTACTAATTTACTCTTCTGAAACAAATGATGGAGAAAATGGTACAAATGGCATTTCTGGTCAGTTTTTTAAATTCTAGATTATTAAACAAACTATCGAGACATGAAAAATTTTAATTCTTATCATGATGTAATTATTCACAATAAATGATAAACAATATGATAAATGGCCACTCCTATAATAATAACAGTCCTATTGGCTTGGAAGCATCAATTACATAATGTGTTTCAATTAGCGAATTGAGTTACTGAACTCAACATTTCAATAGTATTTTAATTTACTAAATATAACTGGGGCTGCATGATGGCACAGTCCATACTGTTTATTGTGGCAAGAAAGTCCTGGGTTCAAATCCCTCTGCATAGAGTTTGCAGACTTTGTGTGTCTTTGTTCAAACTTGATAAATGCGTTGTTCATTTATAAATGATTCCAATAAAACACATTACAGTTTGTGGTTGTCATTTGACAGAATAGGAAAAGGTTCAAGGGGAGAAAATACTTTTTTGTTAAAATACAGAACATATTTAAATTTTATTTGACTGTCTATTTTGAAATATAGAAAACTCCAACTTCCAGTATGGATGGACACAAACCTCTGTTCCTGGACACCGACTTTAATAAATTAGTTTTAGGTACAGTAAACATCTTTTCTTCTTTTGGTTGCTTTAATTGTGTTGTGCTTTTTGCAATTGATTTGTTGTTCAGCTTGCCTTCTTGCATTTCCATCATGCAACTTCTTCATATCATTTCAAGTATTTGTCTTTTCTAATTTTTAAATTAAGTATTGCTTAAACAAGAAATTTTGTCTTTGTTTTATGGTTATCTGATGCACTTTTATCATTTCAAACATCTTAAGTCAGCTTTCCGGAGAAAATCAGCCTGGATATAATTTTAGAACCACAGGCCTGCATTCCACATGCTGTCTGAGCTAAAACAGGAGACTTTAGAGTGCAGTAATTTTGTCTTATATTTAACACGGAATTTGCAAGAGGACAATGAGTCTGTACATTGGCGCCTCACAACAAAACAACTGCTTTCAAAAATTTGGGGTCATTCTAATTTAAAGAGAGCTGAAAATAAAAGGTGTTGCCTGCTACGGTGATGGAATCCACACCAGGAAAGGATTTAAATAGCAAGATTCTTTGCCAAATCTGGTTTTTCAATAATTTTTATTTCTCTTGGGGGGAAAAAAAACCAAAACAACTATATATATATATATATATATATATATATATATATATATATATATATATATATATATATATATATATATATATATATATATATATAGACTTCTGTTTAGCAGAGGTAATATAAGAAATAATGCTGGAAGAGCCTGGCTGAGGTGCTACCTTCAAGTTCTCCTTGCAGAGAAAGTTACCGCTGTGAAAATACGCTGTGAAAGTTACCGCAAAGAAAATACCGCTGAATTCATATATATAAGTTCCTACTCTGACGTCAAGTTGTGAACATGTACCGGACTTTTATTATTCTTACGCTTAGCAAGTAAAGCGTACCAGAATGAAGATCCGCGCTGAGCCGAGTTTCTATGCACCATCAGTTCCTGAATGCAGCTCAGATGATAGAGGGGTGGGGGAGTTGGTGGGTTGGTGTGACGTCATGGCACAGTGCCCCCTCCATGTTTGGAGAAGTTTGTGTTGCTTCGACAAACTTCAGACACCATACTGTAGATGTGCGGATCACAGCAGACCTTTAACTCTTTTTCTGCCCTCTATTTTCCGTTGGTATCAACTTTACATTATATTACCTGCCGTACAAGTCATTTTTTCGCTAGAAATAATAACGTTGGTTACAAATCCCGACCAAGGCTCGCTCTCTGGGCTGAATTTTATGCTCCGTTCACGGACCTTCAATTACATCTTGGTTCCGCGGGTTATGTTTTAGAGCAGCTCTGTTTCCGGTAGTTAATACATGGAGACCGTCTGTTCCGTCGATTGCCTCGCATGTTCGCATCCTCCGTCGGTCGGTTTCGTATGAACCGTTGCGAGACAGCGACGTAGGGTTGGAGGCTCCGCTCGCGGAGCCAGACTTTATGATGGGGATGCCCAGGGGAGGACGTCTGTTCCTGGCGACGTGCCTCTGCTCGTTCTTCGTTCTTGTTCTTTACTTCCAGAGCATCACTAAACCAGGTAAGACGCCATGCATATACACACTCTTCTTAAAACTTTCAGACATTATAGAGATAAATTTCTATTAAAAATGTTCCATTTTTTTGTGACCAGGTCACAATACAGTTTTATTTTAATTACAAAGCCCGATTGTAGTTATTTTTTCACCCAGTTCAGTCCTGGCAACTGAGGCAAACAGTTCAGTGGGTCTGGTTGCATTGCAGTGTTATTGCAGGCTTACGTTCAAAAAGCGAAGAATGGAACAGCAACAACAACAAAACTAGCACTGTGCAGGAACTAAAATATAATCTGAAAAAAAGTGTTTGTATTGACAGGCCACTTTATTAGGTTTACCTGTTCAACTGCTTAATAAATCCTGTGAGCCAGTTGTATCTGAAAGCCTTGTTAATGTCAAAGGTCAACCCCCCCCCCCCCCCCCCCCCCCACACACACACACACACACACACACAAACACACACACACACCGGTTTAAAGTGATACAGAAGCAGCAGGAGTTGAATTAAGGTCTCACTTGTTACCATCAATTGTTGGAGGTCTGCCAGGATGGGAAATGATCAAATTCCCATTTGGTCAGAATTTGGCATAAATCAGTGGTTCGTTTCTTGGCTGGGTTTGTTTCCATAGATTCCAACTTAGCAACATTTGAATGCCACAGCATAGCTGATTTTATATTGTTTCTGACCATAATTGTTCTATTGTAAACACAGTGTACTTTTTTTTTTGGATGACTATGATCAAAAGAGCTCTTTGATATGATATGTTTTTTTGTTTCGCTTGTATTTTTCATCAACAACAAATAGATAGACTCTTTAGTGTGGGTGTAAAACAGATGGTTTGATTGAAAGTAAATGAAATGATGTATGAATAGGCCCACTGTGAAGACTGGAATGTTTTCAGAACCCCTCTCTGTCCCTCCTGAAGACCCCCTGCATTCCTCTCGGCTGTATCCCCTTTTCCTCTTCATGCTCTTCCGTTTCTGTCTCCGGCTGAACCTCCTTTCTGCAGAGCAAATGGCGGGTTGACGCTACAGTTTCTGCAGGATTTTAAAGGCAGGTAATTGATGTTTTGAATAGAAATGTAATTACGGTACAAATTCTGCCTTGAACATTTTTTTCATGTAATAAATTGATATTCCATGGTAGAAACACTCTAAAATACCTGTGGGATTATTTTAGATATATCTTTTCAGTTGTCATCTAGTTCAAAACTGTTTGTTTGTTTTCCCAATTTCAACATCATGTAGATGGAAACATATTCATCTTCTTTTTTGCAAAGGTCTTAAGGTTTCCTTTATTATAATGTCTAAAAGCAGAAATAAAATGTTGGTCTTTAAAATGACAACAAAGTTTCTGAAGTAGAAATTTATCAAAAAATTTAAGTTCTCTACACTGTAAAACAAAATCCACTCACCTTGACTCAGTCTAGCTTTCTTATTGCTTTGACTCCGTTAAGTTGTATCAACTTTAACTGGCAAATTCAAAACACTTAATGAAATCTATTTACATTTGCAAGTACACTAAATAAAAATAGTAATTTAAGATACATTTTTAAAATGTTTCCCCAACTTAGTTAAGTTTTTACATTACTACGTCAATTTGACAAAACCTAAAATTTTACATTTTTGTAACTAATTTCTAATTTAAGCCAACTTTGTAATGTTCTTTTTTTCCCTCATAATATTCATTCTTTGATTATAAATTATGTTTGTGAGTCTAAATGAGAGACAGTTTTATGGACATTATTTTATTCAAATCAGGAAAATAGCATGCTTTCTGTGTCTGCTGGGGCGCAACAGTTAATGACAGAGAAGCTATTGACTCAAGAGAAAAACATTTTTTATTTTAATTGTTTTAAAGCATGCATGACGAAGAAACGAGAAAGTGATCAGCAGGTTCCGTGTTGATATTCCATGGTAAAATCACACTATAATACCTGTGAAATTATTTTAGATATATTTGACAAATTGATTGGATGTAAGAAAACAAAAAACTCCACGCCTGACTGTTTCCCAAATCACTTTGGAGCTGCTGTAAAATAACTTTTATTATTGCCAGACACCAAAACACTAACCACATGCTGCTGACCCTACAAATGGCACACTTGTAGCACTCTTGTTGACTTACCTTCACACGCCCTGCCCTGACTGCCCGGCATGTTGGGACTCATCTTTTTGCTAAGAAAACCACATGTGAAGCCGGTCTGAGCCACATTAGATGGCACTAATTCACATAATGTCAACAAAGCACGGGTCTTTCTGTGATTACTACGTGGCCAAAGTGAGGCCAAAACCAACCGGTCATGTCTTGTTCGGTTCTGTGTTCCTGTGGCAATCTGTACCGCTACTTTATTTTACTGGGCTCTTCATCTCAGAGAGGCCCAGACATTTTTCCTCCAGCTTAATAGTCCATTTTATAGACTAAATATTCCATGAACTCTGTTAGTCTGCAACTTCAGAGCCAGAAATTTGAATTGTGGGATCTTGAAGTGCAGAAAGCCAGTACTTCAGGTACTATCAATGCAATTTAGTCAAGAAGCATGGAACCGTGTTAACACTTTAAAAAGAAAGGGTTCGTATTATCATTTAGTCACCATCTTTCTGATGCTTTAAAAGTTGAGTGATGCCTGGTTGGGAACAGATGGGAACTGGCATTAACCTATATCCTCTACTTTTAGTCATTCTTCCCGATCGCTATAAAAATCAGTTGCACATTTTGATTTAAAGCTACGAGGACAGAAAAACGCCAAGTCTCTCCTCGCTACCAACCGACATTTTATCTGAGGCAGATAAGAAATGGCTTTTTTGCCCAACTGTTAAGACAAACAGGAAAATGAGCAAAAGAAAAAAACGGTTCTGGCAGTTACTGGCTGAATCCTGTGGTTTGTGTTGCATCATGGCGGAATTTCTAAAACTACAACTTTGCTTCACTTTGTCAATGTTGGTTGGTCTTGCTTCTTCTGACATGTTTTCTGGTGAATGACTTCTTGTCATGCTCAAACAGTTAACGGCTATAGAACATAAGACACAGTTACCCCTTCAGTGACCTATTGGTATGGCAATTAGGGCGACCGTTTTATTACTGGACAGGAAGCGCATTGCTTATTATTGTTCTGCTTTCATTGTCTAACATCCTGCAGCAACACTCCAGTGGCTTACAGGAAAGAAATACAACGCATGTCCAGCATGATTAGGAACTACCAGTAATTCATATCACATGGATTTCTCTAGCAACGTCTACTATATAACTGAGTGTGTTCTTTTTCTGTTGATGTGTAGTTATTAAACAGCTGTAGTGTGAAACCATTGAACAGCTATGCATTAAGAAGTTAGACTCGTAATGGGCTTGAATCTCTGCCAACATTATGGTAAAGATGTTATTTTATTAAGACTACTTTTGTGGTCCGTTGCTTTTTATCTCCAGTTGCTTTTAATGCCTTTATTGTTTGGAGAAGATTACATAAGAATTAGTAATGCCAGTTTTAATTAGACTTGGCCATTTTTAAGCAATCATTGCCTCAGATGGAGAAGTAATGCAAGCAATAGCTTGGTTTGTCCTTCACTTGTGAAAACCGTTAAGCACTTTGGGGGAATGCTCTGGATTGAACTGAATTTAGTTTATGGGTGGTAGATTTGTTTTGCAGCTGAAACATATGACGCAGCACAGTTGGAATGTTGTCAGACAGTTGCAAACCGTCTTACAGTCAGTTGAAACCATGACGGTAACCAGACACGGATAATAACTTGTTGTACCGTCATTTCCACTGGGTTCCTATGTAATCTGGAAAAGTCTGGAATTGGATTTTAGTGTTTTCAAGGTGATACAGGAGCTTTACTGATATTAGTTCTGGGAAATCTGAATTGCATCTAGGGGTACAGCTAAAAATTGTTTTAATTATCGCTTATTCTGACAAATAATTTATTAATCAGATAAAAATGGCACATTCTTCAGATCGTTCAATTGGCGACTTTAATCTTTTTAGACAATATTAGAAATACATCAAAAGATGCACATTGACCATTATTAATTTGAATTAACAATTAGTTTACACTTGATCATTTATTTCAAAGGATACATTTGAGAGAAAAAAAGTACTTCTAACATCAGCATGTGAAAAGCTCAGAACAGTGTAGGACTGAGCTGGTGGTCAATTTTTGGATGATTAATTGATTAATAATTGGACTATTTTTTGGGGGTTTTTTGCAGAAGAAAAGCTAAAACTACGACACTTGAGTTCTGGGTAGAATGTCATAAATGCAAAATGTGAATTTCTTTTGTACAGTTTGGGCATTAATTACTGCGCTAATGTTATTCTCTCAGCAAATGACCTTTTATGGTCTGTATACTCCAGTTAACAATTACTCAGTTGCTAAGTTAGATGACAATTATTTCAGTAATTTAGTCATCACAATTAATCCAATTAATCGTTTTCAGCCTTTGTTGTAACGTTAGCTTCTATCATTTGAACAACTATCATGTAGCATTAGCATTTTGGAAAAGTACCTCAGGACAACAAAGCAACAATAAAATTTTGATATAATTAACTATTTCTCGATACTTTATTGACTATATTGTCCCTACCTAAACACTACAACTAAATTTAGGAGATTTTTACAGTTTCCTGCTATGTATTATAAGCCTGGTGGGCCACCAGGCTTTACTTGTGTCCCCACCAGGATAAACATTGCTTATCTATCTAAGTTTAAGTGTTTGCATTTTTTAAGACATTATAGTCGATGTTGAGATATTAATCTTTCAATCTTTCAATAACACATAATTACCAAGTGATATTTTCAAATTTCCTGTCAACTTTAAACATTTTTAACCCAAAAACACAACAGGCTACTGGATGAATGACTGGCCTGGCATCCAACCACCAGGCTTATCAATTTTTTTTGGGAAAAAGCCTGTTTTATATTCTTGTCTTTGTATCGAAATCAAAAGCAATGAAAAAATTTAACAATTGCCTTGTCTGAATAATGTATTTTAACTGTTGTAACCAAT